CTTGATGTTAGTTTGAACATTTGCATGACTGATTGCCGTTGAACGCGCTTGAATACAAGTAATTTTACCAGGTGTCCTGTATTCAGCATAGGGAAATATGTCACCCTACCCATCCCTAGCCCTCAAACCTTGGCCCAACTTTCAAGCCAAACTTTGTGAGAATTTTGGTGACATTCAGATAACTATTTTCATTATCTTTCCTGTTTACTCTGCCTCTGCACTTCCTGTTCCCAGCTTGTACGCTGGGTGTGCAGTCACTCGCACAGGCAGTGTGGGATAGCTGTCCAGATTTTCCCAGCATGCTCTGATACACACACAGTTAGTAGGGTGGTAGGTTCAGGTGCACAAATACAATGGCACATGGCTATGTTGTGGTCCAGGCTCCTTTTCTCTCTTGCTCTTTAATTTTGTGCAGCGCCACAGTAATGGGCAGGCAGAGAAAACCAGTTGCTGTGTGCACACAACACAACTCCATTTGTTGTCCTGGGACAGAAGAGAGTGCCTCAACCTGGCTACTCCACAGCTGTCCTAGTGGCAATGGGGCAGCCAGCAAAGCAAATCCCCAGTGGCCCATGCTACGTCCCCTTAAAAAGAGAGGCTGCTCCTGGTGAGCAAAATCCTAGAACAACTAACACAACAGGAGGCCTCACTGCCCTCTGACAAAGGGTTCACTGCCTGTAACTATAACTGTTGCCAGGCCTGACAAACTCACTACATGTAACACATTGCGTGTATCATAATATTTATCCAAACAGTATCTTGCAAGGTATCATATAAAAACTGGGAACATACTGGTCATGAATATCATTGCATGATGTATGTACAGGTTGTGTATTAAGAATTATTTATGCCTGAGGAAAATAAGTTACTAAAATGTGTTTAGACAAAGCACAATCCAAGTAGAGCTGATGAACAAGACTGTCCTAGACAAAGGAATATTCTTTTGTCTGTTTGCCTCTGTCTCTGTTATAAATTAAGCAAGGTGATCCCAAGGAGAATGAAAGTATATTTACACCTACACATTTAAACCAACTGAAAAAGCAGATTGTCCAGAGGATGAGGAAGACAGCATGGTGTCAGCTTCCTGGAGCACATGCAGCAGGGGAAAAAATCCTTATCTGGAGATACACTTCAAAAGAATCCATTTGAAAGGTTTACTGGACTATAAAAAGAAGGGGAGAGAACCCCTTAGTTATCCATCACCCAAGGGACAAAAGAAGCCAGTGCTCTTGGAATCTGTGAAAGACAGATCCTTCAGCCATGTGGGTTGAAGATGCTGAGAACTGACTATAGGTTCAAAACTGCCTGCAACCGGGATTGTAATCTTAAATTTTAGACTCTACAAAGTGTGTTTGTACTTCTGTTTTATCTGGAACCATTTTTGTCTCTATTACTCTATCTTAGTGTCACTTAAATCCATGCTCTTTATTAATAAATCTATTCTTAGTTTGACTATAAACCATTTCAGTGCTGTATATCAAAGTGAAGTGTGTGTCCTCAGCTAAGCTAATAGGCTGGGGTGCGCACTGTCTCTCTGGAGGCAGTGCCCCTTGGTAATTTCTGTGAGTGTCCAGTGAGAGGGACTGGACACTGCAGAGAGACATCCTGGGGCACTGAATGTTACTTGCAAGGGAAGGTTTAGACTGGCAGAGTCTCAAGGAGTTGGCTGGTGATGCAGACAGATGGGTGTGGCAGGGAGCGGACACACACTGTAAGCTCCGGCAAAGAGGTAATACAGTAGCTTACGGTTCTGGGTGCCCTTAGGAGAGCACCACAATTCCAGCGGGGCTTTTCTCCCTTTTAAGGTCCGTGAGAGACTAAATTTGAATGTGAGAGGTCAGTTTCTCCCCCATGCGCTCACTGGGGTGACTCAGTGAATGCCCTTCTCCTTTTGTTCGTGTGTGTGTGTGTAACTCTCCAGCGAGGCACTTGCTGGAGGAGGCGTTGTGCTGCACAATCACCAATACCAACCACGGCAGCAGTACCTTGCGCGCCAAGCCCTGAGCAAGGCTGTGGCACAAGGACAAACCCAGAGGTCCCAGGCACAGAGGGGATCAGCTACCAAGCAACATGAGCAAAAAGGGGGCAGCAATTCAATCAATCAATAAAAACCTTTGGAGCTTCAGCCAATAACTCCCTTTCCATGGCCTTGTCCAACTGGAAGCAAAGGACAGACACACAACTGGCCCAGCTGGTCATTCTGGCCAGGCAGGGACACAAGGTGAGAGGGGACTGCTGAGTGCTTTGCCCTACGTGTTACATATTGAACTAAGTGCTTGTATTGCATCTTTTGGCATATCGTAGACCAGAGGGAAGCCCAGAGACTTCCCCTCACCGACACCCTGGAATAAGTGAGAAGGGCTTGTTGCTCTCATTGTAACAAAACCATGAACGATTATGATACGGAGCTGATTGACAACACTTTGCATTTACATCTCAAAGCACTTTCCAAGGGCGGGTGAGTATCATTATTTCCATTGTACAGGGGGAAAAGGAGGCACCAAGAGAGGAAATGTCTTGAGAAAGGTCACCCAGGGAGCCGACAGTAATGCCAGAATCAGAACCCAGGAATCCTGGCTTTCCAGTACTTTGGGCAGCGTGGGCACTCCGGAGTTTGTCAAATTCTCCCACCAATGCTTGAGCACTGGGGTGGGAGTACTAGGGCAAAGCGGACCACCTCTCATTGCTCTGAGCAGGTTTATACAATGGTTAAAAGCCTGGTGGCTCACGTACCCTCATCCTCCCATTATTACTCGCGCCAGCAGGGGTGCACCCGAACTAGAGCAACAGGGGGAGAACCCTGAGTGTAGACAGGGCACTACTCGAATTAGCAGACCATACAGCCTCTTCCCAAGAAGTGCCAAAGCCAGCCCAATTTGAAACGCCCATTGCAAAACCTCCTTCAAGATAATCAGAGTGGGTGGGATTCAATGAAAGAAACGGCTCGGCATCCTGAAGCAGCAATCCTTTAATCTAATGTGTGTGAAGCTAGCAGGGAAACCTGTGCTCTCACTCCGGCTGGAAGGAACCCCCCTTTGCACCACCCTGCCTCATTTGCCACCAAAGAGCTCAGCCCTGGGAACAGGTCCCAGAGCCAAGTGAGTCCACTGAGCCCACCTCACCTCAGTGACACACAGCCCTTCCCAGACTCCTCTCCTCTCCACTCCCACTGCCTCAGCTTTCTTTGGAGCTAGGAAGTAGCCAGAGACCTTGGGAATGATCAGCACATTTGAGACCACTTCTCCCATCTCCAGAAAACGCCGCTATTGTGTCCCACACAGAACCAGCATATTCTGTGGGGGCGGCCATGAAACCCCTCCCAGGCAGCAGCAATGAGGCACCCTAAAGGAGTGCGAGAGGGGGAGTATGGGACCTCAGGAGACTAGTGGGGTCAGCATACAATAGGCAGATACTGATTTACAAGGCGAAAGAGAGGTACCCCCTGCATGGAGCAGGGGGTTACAGAGAGAATGTGTGTTGGCTGCTTCCCTGGGGACGGAAGTTAACTCCTCTGGGAACACGGGAGATCTCCAGCACCACGGGCATAAGGGACGGGAGTTCTCCAGCGCCAGGGGCAGAAGGCAGAGGGGAGGGAGTTCTCCAGTGCTGGGGGCAAAAGGCAGAGGGGAGGGGAGTTCTCCAGCACCATGGGCAGAGGGCAGAAGGGGGGAAGTTCTCCAGCACCAGGGACAGAAGGCAGAAGGGAGGGGAGTTCTCCAGCGCAGGGGGCAGAGGGGAGGGGAGTTCTCCAGAGCTGGGGAAAGAGGGCAGAAGGGAGGGGAGTTCTCCAGCACCGGGGGCAGATGACAGAAGGGAGGGGAGCGCTCCAGCACCGGGGGCAGAGTGGAGGGAAGTTCTCCAGCACCAGGCCCGGGCAGATGGCAGAAGGGAGGGGAGGTCTCCAGTGCCGCGGGGAGAGGGCAGAAGGAAAGAAGGGGCAAAGGCAGAAGGGAAGCGGTGTTCTGTCCCCACAAGGAGAGGCCAGGCAGACAGGGCTACTGCCCGAGCGAGATAGTTACCCTTGGAGCTCTGGTCAGTTGCCTGGGAACTGGTGTGGACAGCAAATGATTCCTGCACTTTGGCACTAACTTGCCCTTCTTGGGAGTCTCAGGAAAGAGGCTGAGGGGCTCTGCTGGGCTGTGTCTGAGCCACTGCGTACCCACACTTGCCCTGCGGTGGCTCTGTGGGGCCACGTTTGAGGCTCACTGGGAAGAGCAGTGTCTCTGCTGTGTGATGTTTGGAGCAGCTCCTTTCCGCAGTACAATGATGGGGGAGCTCGGCTGGCTCTGAGCTGGGCATGAACCTACCCAGCAGGGGTGTCCTGTCTGCGAAGGTCTAGGAAATGCCTCCTTTCCCTTGTTTACTCTTTCCTCTCCATACCAAACAATATCGCCTCTTCTGTTTGCCTCTAAGAGAGTACTGTACAACAATCCCCACCTAGACCTTCCCCAACATGTACAGCGTGGGTAGCAATGGTTACCCCACAAGCAGGGAAGCTGCGGCACAGAGAGGGTAAGGGACCTGCCCAAGGTCACTCAGTGAGGCAGTGGCAAAGCTGGGAAGAGAACCCACAGGGAACCAGATGGATCAGGGAGCTAGGTTCCAATCCAGACCACTTTGTAATGACTGAACATTGGTTCGCTCTGATCCAGGGTCTAAGTCCAGTTCCCAGAAGGCAGGCATCTACAAAGAAAATAATCTCCCACCTCAGACTGACGCCCCCTAATGGAATCTGCTTCACCCTAGTCTCTAGCCCACAAAATACAGCCCAGTAACATAAGCCCTCCACAGAGCCAGGGTAGAGTGCTTTCCCAGGCACTCTCTTCAGGTTAGCTCCCCTTTACAAAGAACACTGAGAGAGAAGTTCCTTCACACACACACCTGGGAAAACCCTTGCCTTCTATTACTGCATCCCCACATCCCCACAGTGTCCGCCAGACCCCTGCAGCTTTCCCCTGGCACGTGGGGAAATCACAGCTTTCACTGGCAAAACAACTCACCTGAAGCAGGTGTCAAAGGGCAGCAGGACTCTGGTCTGAAAACGCGCCTGTGTTCTTGGGGGTTATTGCGAGTCCATTTGTTCTTTTCTTCTTTGTTCCTCCTGCACAAAGGAAGAAGGCAAAATGTTCTTCTTTGGAAGGTCCAGCGTTAGCCCAGAACTCTCAGCAGCCTCCTCTGAAAGGAAAAGGATGACTGTATTATTCCTAAGATACATGGCAGGGGGTGGGGGTAGCAGGGAGGAGGAGACTGCAGGATCTGAACTGATTGTGGGGGAGCTGGGGACTCAAGGCACCTGTCACCAAGATGCTGCGTGGATTCCACACTGCAATTAACACTGCCAATGCTGGGCTGGGTTCCTCTGCCTCCACACACAAGCTACAGAAAAGAGTTAGTGGCAGTGAAGGCAGCGGAGCAAGAACAGTGCAAGGCGTTCCCAGGAGGCACCAGCTTCCATCCCACCCCATTTCTTTATTCTGCTGCTTTCTGGTAGGCTGCCTTGCATTCAGAAAGCCACTTGGATCCCACAGCTGGAGAGTTACCAGATAAGGATCCCAGATTTTCTTCTCTCATCAGCCTGATCTATGCAAACAGGACCTCCAAAGGCCAGATGCACCTGCACAGCTTAGCCCAAGGACTGTAAATGTGAATTTTCTGCCCTTGTCCTAACGTGGGATCTACAGTAGTGTGTGTATCAGCTATGTCACTAGCCAGATGCCATTCATTTCATGCAAAGGAAAATATATCATCAATACATTTTAGCTGTGAGTCAAACTCTGCCTTCAGGGAAACGGGCACAGCTCCGGCTGGCTTTCATCACTGCTTTATTAAACACAGATTCCTAGAGCTCCCTTTCCCATGGCAGCTGGGCACTCTAAACATGGAGATAAAAGTACTACCTCAAGCATACAGTTTAGGGGACAAGAGAAAGCACTTCCCAGCCAATCATAGCTCCTGCAACGAGGCACAGGGAGAGCCGTATCTCCCAGACACAAGTTTTAGGGCTGGAAGGTCAGCAGCAGCAGCTCCATGTCTGCAGTGTGCTGCAGGAGTGCACGTGATCACATGTCCCTCTAGAAGCTGGCCCAAGTGGAGATAAGAGCCTGAAGGCTAGTGGAGTTCTCTTGTAGCTCTGGGGCTTGTGCTGAATGCTCTGGGTTCAACATCCAGCTAAGTAGTTACAAAATCACACCCTAGGTGGGAGATGAACTCCTGTGGGCGATTTGACTCGTCTGGTTGGGAGGAGGTAAACCACTGGCTTAGTGTGTGTGCCCATGGCCTAGCCTCCCACCATTCGCCTGCCAGCAAGCACCAACTCTGCCTCACACGAGCCGAGACCCAGCCTGGTCCATCCGATCTTGGCGAGTTACTGAAACTATAATCTGTGCTCAATGGGAAGGAGAAAAGTTGAGCTGAACAGCAACACTGCAGCAGCAGACACCCTGCAGCTTCATGTAAACACTGAGCAGGAGGAGAGGCAAGAAGAGCCCCTTAGAGGCACCTCCTGGGATGCCTCCAGAAAGCCCAAGCAGCTGTCCAGCACTGCCCACTCAGAGGCCTGAGTCTCACTGACAAAGCTCCTGTGTGCTCTTGAGGTGGAGGTACTGAAGGGCTCATTCTGTCACCCCTCTTCCTCTCTCCCTGTGCCACGGACACAGCTCCCTGCTTGAGACAAGCCGCCCAAATTACACTTCACATTGTCTCCCAAGAGAGGCATCTGGTCTCACATGATGAAAATAAACCTGCTGCTGGCTCTCGAGCTCTCAGAGCTGCCAACATCACCCAAATCAGGCACAAGGGAGTAGCAGGCAGGCAGGCAGCACCACAATCAATCTGCTCCTCTGTATGGGAGCAATTCTGCTGGACACTGCACCACTGGGTTCAGGCCCAGGCCCTTCAGAGCTGAATAACTCTTAAAGCCATCTCACTACAGAGCCATCCATCATGTTACTGGCCCAGCACAATATCCAGAACAGACGTTAACCTGTATAAAACCCTGGACATTTCCAAGCTCTAAGAGCTCCCCAGAACTGCCGCCCCACCCCAACCCCCCATCTCTCTTTCTTCTTTGGTTTCTGGTGTTTCTCTAAATCTCCGAATTTTCTAACTTTCCTCTAGGTGAGGAAGCCAGGCTTTGTTCCCTGGCACCTTTACAAGGCTCTCCGGGAGCTCAGGAGTTGTCCCATTCTCCACCCCGGGTGCCACAGAGAGATGGGCCAAGACCTAAAGTTCCCGGAAGCTGTTAGGAACAAAAGAGCTTCACAGCTGTTTACAGTCTGCTCCCAACACTTGCAGCTCCACATTATGACAGTGACTATCATCAAATCTCATGCTTCAGGAATACCCCAGGGCACAATTGGCCAGATGTATTCCAGGCTTTTTCCCCCCACCTTCCTCTGAAGCATCAGGGACTGTCACAGCTGGAGACAAGAGACTGGATGGGGGGGCGCCAGGCTCTCAGGTGGTAGAAAGAATCTTCTTTCTAGGTGCCGGGCTTGTGTGTCTGCTCACATGCTCAGGGTCAGACTGACTGCCACTCATGGAGTTGAGAAGGAATTCTCCCTCAGGTCACATTGGCAGGGACCCTGGGGTTTTTTGCCTTTCTCTGCAGCTTGGGACATGGACACCTGCTGGGATCACGTGGGCATGTCTCACCTAGACACTTGGGCAATGGTGACACATCAGTCTCCACACTGAAATGTTTTAACTAAAACCACTGGCCACAATATGTGGTGTCTGGATGAAATGTATTGGCCTGTGTTTTACAGGAGGTCAGACTTGATCTAACAGTCCCTTCTGGCCTTAAACTCTATGAAACTCCTGGGCTTGTTGATGAAGGAAGAATGGACACAGCAGAACCTAAATTGCCACCAGGCTTCTGCTGGCATCTCAGTACCTGGGAGAGCTGCCTAGGGCCTAGATGGATGCTGCAGACTAGAGGTGGGATTGAGACCTGAAAGGCCTGACTGCACTTTTGTAAACCCTCCAGTTTCCTTTTATCTTCTAAGGCCTGTTCTTGTTACTGAATGAATTGTTCTACCTGTGATGAGTGGCTAGAAGGGAGAAGTTTCCCCTCCATGCTGCCAGTCCCCTTCACTGAGCAAAAGCAGCAACATCTGGCATCAAACAAAAAAAGTGTTATGTGATCGAGCAGCCTGCAACCTGGACAGGCTGCTCTCCAGCGCTGTGTAACCAGGCTGGACAGCTAGCCTGTGGTGGCTGAGGCTTCTTCCACAGGATATCAGAAACAGACCAGGTGCCCAGAAAACATACACTCTTGGTGCGACGCAGGACAGCCCAACGTTCAGTCTGTATCGTGCTTCCTAAGCATGTGTCGATAGAACTGAGCAATTGTTCTTGCTGAGGGAGGAGAGAGCAGGTGGCAGGCAAGAGTGTGCCTGGAGCCAACTGGCCTGCTCCTTGGCTCTCAGAGGAGCCTGCACACCCACCCCATGAGGGCAGCAGGGGTAGATGTGAGGGGGGGGAACACAGAAGCTTAGTAGAAAGGAAACCAGACAAGCAGTCCAGGGGCTGGGAGGTCACCTTTTGCACAGCAGTTTATGCTTCTTTTCTCGGTTATCTCTGCTGCAATTAGAGATCTCTGCTGCAATTTCTCAGCTATCTCTGCTGCTGCTCTAGCCCAGTGGTTCTCAACCAGGGGTACACGTACCCCTGGGGGTACGCAGAGGTCTTCCTGGGGTCCATCAACTCATTTAGACATTTGCCTAGTTGTACAACAGGCAACATAAAAAGCACTAGTGAAGTCAGTACAAACTAAAATTTCATACGACTTGTTTATACTGCTCTCTATACTATACACTGAAATGTAAGTACAAGATTTATATTCCAATTGATTTATTTGATAATTATATGGTAACAATGGGAAAGCAAGCAATTTTTCAGTAATAGTGTGCTGTGACACTTTTTAATTTTTATGTCTGATTTTGTAAGCAAGTAGTTTTTAAATTAGGTGAAACTTGGGGTTTGCAAGACAAAGGGGCAGACTAATCTGGAAAGGGGCATACTAATCTGGAAAGGTTGAGAGCCACTTATCTAGCCCACAGGGCTGACTCCTTGCTTCAGCAGCTGGCCTGGGAATAAATAATTCAGAAGCCAGGAAGGGGAAAGCAAAAAACCCTCCTGAGGGGAACCTAAGCTGATCTTCTCTAGCTGTTATGCCTCATAGGTCACATGACAGTGCAGCAATTCTGACTCTATCCAGCAGGGGACAAAGGTGACATGTATGCTAGGCAATACCTGACAGTGTCTACTTGATTGGATACATCTATTATTAGTAATTAACATTTAACTAACATAGGACTTTTCTTGACTTTAGCAAAGCTTTTGACACGGTCTCCCACAGTATTCTTGTCAGTAAGTTAAAGAAGTATGGGCTGGATGAATGCACTATAAGGTGGGTAGAAAGTTGGCTAGATTGTCGGGCTCAACGGGTAGTGATCAATGGCTCCATGTCTAGTTGGCAGCCGGTGTCAAGTGGAGTGCCCCAAGGGTCGGTCCTGGGGCCGGTTTTGTTCAATATCTTCATAAATGATCTGGAGGATGGTGTGGATTGCACTCTCAGCAAATTTGCGGATGATACTAAACTGGGAGGAGTGGTAGATATGCTGGAGGGCAGGGATAGGATACAGAGGGACCTAGACAAATTGGAGGATTGGGCCAAAAGAAATCTGATGAGGTTCAATAAGGATAAGTGCAGGGTCCTGCACTTAGGATGGAAGAACCCAATGCACAGCTACAGACTAGGGACCGAATGGCTAGGCAGCAGTTCTGCAGAAAAGGACCTAGGGGTGACAGTGGACGAGAAGCTGGATATGAGTCAGCAGTGTGCCCTTGTTGCCAAGAAGGCCAATGGCATTTTGAGATGTATAAGGAGGGGCATAGCGAGCAGATCGAGGGACGTGATCGTTCCCCTCTATTCGACATTGGTGAGGCCTCATCTGGAGTACTGTGTCCAGTTTTGGGCCCCACACTACAAGAAGGATGTGGAGAAATTGGAGAGAGTCCAGCGAAGGGCAACAAAAATGATTAGGGGTCTGGAACACATGACGTATGAGGAGAGGCTGAGGGAACTGGGATTGTTTAGTCTGCAGAAGAGAAGAATGAGGGGGGATTTGATAGCTGCTTTCAACTACCTGAGAGGTGGTTCCAGAGAGGATGGTTCTAGACTATTCTCAGTGGTAGAAGAGGACAGGACAAGGAGTAATGGTCTCAAATTGCAGTGGGGGAGGTTTAGGTTGGATGTTAGGAAAAACTTTTTCACTAGGAGGGTGGTGAAACACTGGAATGCGTTACCTAGGGAGGTGGTAGAATCTCCTTCCTTAGAAGTTTTTAAGGTCAGGCTTGACAAAGCCCTGGCTGGGATGATTTAATTGGGG